AATCATGTCATCAGGTAGAGTAAAGTGAGGGGTAAAGCGCCACAGAATCGAGAGACCCATCGTGTTGAGGATGAGAAAACGTCCGCGAAAGGTGCGTGTGCGCTTCCCCCAGCGAGCGAGACGGGTACACACCTTAGATTCCAAAGACGCGCAAACCAGCTCAGAACGGATGTCAGGACCGATAGGTACGCCGAGGTAGACCGTTGATCCGGACGTTCCGACTCCAAAAGGCGAGTCCTGAGCTGATATGAAGTTTCCGTTGAAAGCAACCAATTGGGACTTATTCAAGTTGAGCCGCGCTCCTGGTCCTGCGCGGTATACATCCACAATATTAACTTGGCGCTGCAGACCCTCGATAGAGCTCGAGAGGAGCGTAGAGTCGTCAGCAAAATAGAGTCCAGTTCCCACGCAGTCGGGACTTATCGGATGCCTACCTCTGGTGGTGCACGAAGAAGATTTCCGAGCGGCTCGATTAAAAGGACGAACAGCAGCGAAGAGAGTGGATCACCTCGTTTGACGCCTCGTGATGGACATAATGTCTCCTGTAGTACACCATTGATCGACAAAGCAGCTTCGGTGTTAGAGTACAATATTCGTACCCACCCACAAAATGCTGGCCCGCATCCAAATTGGCGTAGAACTCCGAACAAATAGTTCCAGTTGACACGATCGTAGGCCTTCGCAAAATCCTCTTCACCCAGCCGTCTGTATAATGAAGTGTTTGTCTACCTGTTGTCGACTGGACGATTGGACGCTCATCGTCAGCAAAGCGTTCATCACCAAATATACCCCCCCCCCCCCAGTGGTTCCGAAATTGAAAGCTAATATCCTCAGGATCGTCTGATTCTGAGCCGTCCGGTAGAACGACACTAGTTACCGCGGTCGACCTTAACACCGGAGAAGGTGGACGAAAAAAAGCCGACGTAGATGCCTCCATTTGATACGCATGATAGTCAACATAGTTCTCCTGCCGACGGTCCGCAAGGACCTGCTCGAGCGATTCAACCGCTGTAATCGCTTCAGTTAATGGTTCAGCTGTCTCGTGGCTTGGATTCGCCTCATACACTTGGCCCCTTCTCGTCACGTGAGAGCGATACGCACGAAGAATGTCGGTCTCTTGAGCTCCCGCTTTCACCTGGGCTAGCTGGAGCAGAGACTTTATTTGCCGTTTCCATCCCTCCCAGACAAGTCCTGGACTCGGTGTATGTCGAATTGATTGCTGGAGCTGCCTTATGTTCTTGTATAATAATCTGACGAACTGCGTCATCCTAGAGAGTTGAGGGATTTAGGCGCCAATACGCAGGTAGTGGGCGACGACTGGGGGATCCCAAGGCCACCCGAACAGCGAGGTGATCCCCGCTATGTGGTGCTTGAAAATACCTCGCTTCTTCAAACGTCGAGTCAACCCAGTCGTCACTGATAAAGATGTAGTCAAGACGGTTAGTACGAGGCGAAGGGCCGGAGAACATCCGCCTGCTCGGAAATCGAAGTTGCCACGCGTCCGTAACGTGGAGCGTTGACAGCCAGCTAAGCAGATATCCGCGAGATGTATCTGACACACTGGACACCCCACGGGAGTCCAGAATAGGGTCGATCGCCACATTAAAGTCACCGAGAACCAAATGATGGGAGTCTTGATCAAATTCAGCTGGGAGAGATCGGTAGAAGTGGGAGCGCTCCGATGCATTTACGGGGGCGTAAATGTTGTGGATGCATGCAGTTGTCCCCGCGTAGACCAGTCGAATCAGAAGGTAACGTCCAGGAATAGTAGCTCGCCTGACCTCTTCCGCTGACCCAACACCCGGTAGGTCGGGATGCAAAGTGTCGCGACGACGCCACTTCGAGGCCCTACTTGAACATGGCTGGAGCTGTTGCGGTCACTGATAAATAAACGATGGCCGGAGGCTGAA